TTATTATCTGTTGTGCCCAAGTTGCAAAGTTCCCAGAGACCACCATGAAGACAGACCCACTAAACTGTAAAAGCAAGGTTTTAATTGTTATTCAACCATGACAGGGACCCTGTCTAGCAAGCTGACGCAGCAGCCTCCAGTGAGTAAAGTTCCCAGTCTACTGCTAGGTTTTAAAGACAAAAGTTACAGGATTACATCAGTAGGTACGGGTTGGTTTATGACTGGTTGACATTTGGGAACAGTCAGGAGAATTTCTCAAAGTCATATTTTGGCACGAAATACCTGTGTACCAATTATTTTCATTGGTCAGTGCTGAGAGGGAACATTCTGTGGTTTCTATGGCATTGTCTTGTTACTTGAAGGTGGCCTGTTGTACTTAGACACTAGTAGTTTTCAGAACTATATCCTGGAGACTGCAGGGGAGGTTTTGGTCCCTCCTGGAGTTTCTTTTGTGGCCAGTTCCCAGGAACCAAGCATTTAGGAGGCTAGGCTGTGTTCAGTTTTGGCCCTAGACTCCAGGACGCCAGAGGATCTGGAGTTTCCTTGTGTCAGAGGCCTACTCGTCTTTTCTGTAGCCTTAAAGGCATGCACCACCACCAACTGGCGATTTTCTTACTTTAAAAATTTTGTGCTTGCTTGCATGTATGTGTGTGCACCACTTGTATACCTGGTGCCCTTGGAGCTCAGAAGATTGTGTTTGATCCCCTGGAACTGGAGTTACTGATGGTTGTGAGCAACCACATGGTACTGGGAATTGGACCCAGGTCCCTTCAAAAGCAATACATGCTCGCTCTTAAGTACAGGGCCAACTCTCTAGCCCCTACTTGTCTATTTTTATACCTGTGGCAGTCTGTCCATCAGAGTGACTCTGGTATAATTTGAGGTCAGCGTTGTTCCTACTCCTTAGGATTGCTTTGGCTATTCATGGTCTTTTGTTCCACATAAATTCTTTTTCTTCTTTTTCTTAACCTGTGAAATATGACACTGGAATTTTGGTAGGTATTGCATTAAACCAGTAAATTAGCTCAGGTAGTAAAGCCATCTTCACTCTTTCCTTCTGAGTGTCTTCTGTGAGTTTCTTCTTCCTGTCCTCAAGTTTCTGTTGTAGAGTTCTGACTCTTCTTTGGCTTGATAATTCCTATATACTTAATTGTTTTTGAAGTTTTGTTTTGTTGAAATTTCAAGACAGGGTTTCTCTGTAGCCCTAACTGTCCTAGAACTATGTAGATCAGGTTGGCCTTGAACTCATAGAGATTTGCTTGCTTCTGCCTCAAGTGCTGGGATTAAAGGCACCTGGCTTGAGGGGCTGGAGAGATGGCTCAGAGGTTAAGAGCACTGACTGCTCTTCCAGAGGTCCTGAGTTCGATTCCCAGCAACCATATGCTGGCTCACAACCATCTATAAGGAGATCTGGTGCCCTCTTCAGCCATCCAAGGCTGAATGCTCTATACATAATAAATAAATCTTAAAAATTCAATCTGGTGCCCTCTTCTGGCATGTAGGCAGAACACTGTATATGTAATAAATAAATCTTAAAAAAAAAAACAAAAACCAAAATAAGGGGTTGGTTTGCCTTTTATTTATCTATCTATTTCTTTTTTTGAGACAAGGTCTCAACTGTAAAACACTAGGCTGGCCTGGAACTCAAAGAGATACATCTGATTCTGCCTCCTGAGTGCTGGGACTGGAGGTGTACGGCCCCATACTTGGGTGGGTTTGTTTGTCTGTGTAGCTCTCTGGCTGTTCTGGAACTAATTCTGCAGACCAGACTGGCTTTGAACTCAAAGATCTGCTCAACTCTACCTCCCAATTGCTGAGATTAAACTGGCCTAATTCTTTGTTTTTTCTCTTTTTTCCCAAGACAGGGTTTCTCTGTATTGTTTTGGAGGCTGTCCTAGAACTTGCTCTGTAGACCAAGCTGGTCTCGAACTCGCAGAGATCCACCTGCCTCTGCCTTTGCTGGGATTAAAGGTGTGCACCACCAACGCCTGGCTGTTTTCTCTTTTGTGTCTTTGTTTTACCTAATTGCTACAGCTAAAACTTACAGTACTGTATCAAATAAGAGGAATTAATGGGCATCCTTGTCCTGATCCTGATTTTAGAGGAAATATTGTGTGTCCCCACTTAACATAATGTTGACACCTGTTTGTTATAGGTAGTAGCCTTGATTATTTTGAGGCATGTTCTATGTATTCCTAAGTTCCTAAAACTTTTGTCACAAAGGCAAGCATTCCAGCATCAACTGAAATGATTATGTGGTTTCTTTCAGTTATTTATATGGTATATTTGATTTTTTTTTTGGTATGTTGAGCTAACCTTGCTTTTCTTGGATGGAACTCATTGTTACTATGCATTGCCTTGTCTGTCACTGGTGACCACAGTCTTGTTTTTTTTTTTTTTTTTAATTGATTGACCATCTCCTTCATTTTAAATATTTCCTTTTTATTCCCCTTTTGGTTCTCTTTTTCTCCATGTAGCCCTGCTTTGCCTACCCCAGAACTCACTGTGGAGACCAGGCTGGCCTTGGATTGGCAGAGATATGGCTGCCTTTGCCTCCTGAATGCTGGGACTAAAGGCTTGTGCCACCATACCTGGCATTCAAATATTTGTTTTTCAATGTTTCAGTCTCCTTGCTGAATTTTGCCTCCACATTTTAGACTTTCACCTTCAATTTAGTAACTGCTACAAATCACTTTGGAGTCTGCCTTGTGAAAGTCTTGGATAGATTTCCTAATTCGTGGATTTTATATATGATCATTAGTTCTTTAAAAGTTGGGTGTGGTATCGTAAGCCTTTAATCCCAGCATTTAGGAAGCAGAGGCAAGCAGATCTGAGTTTGAGATCAGCCAGAGCTACATAGTGAGACCCTGTCTCAAAATGACAGATTTTTAAAAAGTTACTCATTTATTTAGCGTTGGTTAATGTGTGTTGCCATAGACTGTTTCTGTTATAACAGTTGTGACATGGAATGATCTGTTCAGTGGGTCTAAATGATAAGCATTGATCAAGACCCTTACAAATGTGATTGCTTTATCTATTATTGAAGGTAGGGTAATTGAAATCCGATGTTTATTCTTTCAGCTGTTTTACACACACACACACACACACTTTTGCATATTAAATCTTCGTGGTAATTTGATCCTGTAGATTTTTTTTTTAAGACAGACTCCTTGTGTAGTGCTTAGCACTTGGGATGAGTGAGGGGGCCTTCTTAGAACGATTTGGCATTTGAGTCCAGAGAAATATAGCTGAGGAGAGGATTCAGGGATAAAATTATTTTCTCTAAATCATGAATCATGGGGCAATCATAATTGCCTGTGATGGCTGTGAGAAATGAATGGCTATGTCCTAAATAGGTGCAGAGACTCTCCCTTAAATGCATGACCCATTTTTTTCCCCAGTATAAACACCTGAAATGTAGAAGTGATCCATATGTCAAAATCGAAGGGAAGGACACTGATGACTGGCTGTGTGTGGACTTTGGTAAGTGACTGTTGTGCAATTTACAGATAAATACACATTATTTAAACTTTGTTTTCAGCTACAAAAAAAGCTGGTGTGTGCATATTAAGATTTTTGAAATTGGTTTCAGGTAACAAAAAATTGATTTTAATTATAGCTTAGGTGGTGTTATTCACATGTGAAAGCTTTGCCTAACCAAAGTACTCTGGACAGACACACTATATGCTATATATGCAAGGGGCCACACAGATGAGTAACAGGTGTATTAATATGCCAGTTTCAAAACACCTCCCAGCCACAAATGTACTAAGAGAAAACAATAGCTAGCCACATGCCTACTTGGCGCCAGGAGGCAGGCACCTGAGATTTTAGCCTACATATACTTGCAAGCTGTCATAGTCGCTGGCTGCGGTGGGAAGGATTTGTCTTACTGACATTTCCATTTAACAGCTGATCATTGACAAAAGCAATTAGGACAAGAAGGAGCTGATGAAAAGGCCATGGAGGAGTGCTGCTTACAGGCTTATTGGTGACTTGCTCAGCCTGCTTTTTTATAGAACCACCAGTCAAGAGATAGCACCACCATATCAATCACTAATTAAATGCCCTATCGGCTTGCCTGCTTACATTATAGCCCAATCCTCTTGGTTGTTGATGGTATGACCAGAGGAATCTGGAAGACCAACTTGCATTCTCTTGGATAAGGCTAACAATAGTCATTGATGCTACATGTTGACCTCGTTTCCATGCTAAATGGCAGATGTGCTAACAAACACAGCATCCCTTTGTAGGAAGGAACGCACCATCTGCTCAGAAGTCCAAGGTGAGGGATAGAAGCATTGATAAAAATAAGCAAATGCATTTTCTTCATTGTAATTTTTATCTGTTCTTGATAGGCAGTATGGTGATCCATTTGATGCTTCCAGAAACCAGAGAAACCTACGAATTAGAGAAATTATGGACTCTACGTTCCTTTGATGACCAGTTAGCTCAGATAGAAGCAGAGACATTACCTGAAGACTTCATTCTTGGACTAGAAGATGACACAGCATCCCTGACTCCAGTGGAGTTCAAATGTGAATAAACTAAGTAATAATGCCTTTCATCCCTTAGATGTGTCTGAGCCATCTGCAAGTGCAGGTCTAGCCAGCCCTGTCTGCTCAGTCAACCTTTTGGACACTCATGCTGATGACGGCTGTGCAGACTGTAGATAAAAACTAGCTCACAGGCCAAGGACCAGTAACTCAATCCCAGTTTTCAGCACACTGCCTTTATCCTTGAGATCCTATCAGGGTTAGGATCTTAGCACTGATCTCCAAGATTAACTCAAAATTCTCTCTGTTCAGATTACTTAGATTATTAGGAAAAGCCATGCAAAACTGTAGTTATTTGTTCATATTAAGTAGGATAATCAAGGTTCACCTTGATGTACCAGGCAGGGCTGAAAAAAACAACTCACTGGTGGATCACTGCCTAGTGTAAGATGGGTATCGTAGAAACAGACTCAACAGCACTCAACTGAAAACACTGCACAAAGCTGTGGCTTATGATGAAGGCTTTATTCTGCATCAAGGTACCTGGAAAATGAAGCTGCATTTGGGGCACGTTATAGATGAAAAATGATCCATATGTGGTGAATACAAACTCAATTATAGGATTACTCTTTGTACCAGGTACTCCACACTACCAATGCTTAAGTGAAAGTAAAACATGATTTGCCACTCTAAAAGGCTAGATGTGAAACATGGCAGAATTGAAACCAGCAGATATAAATGTAGCACCTGTCAGTTTTTAAAGAAAAAAACTGTAAAACCCAAATACTGAGGAAGTATTCTGGCCTTAAACATATCTCCCCTGAAATTCAAGCAGAACAGGTCACTTTAAATCAGTTGTAAAAGGGGGCACTTTTTGGATAAAACTACTAAATAAACTGGCTTTACAAAAATTTTTCAAACCACTGATATGCTGATGCTCAGAAAAAAACTTAAAAGCATGTAGAAGTTAATCTTGAAATACTAATGAGGCAAAATGACTTTCTGCAGGGTTACATAATGCCCTCAAGGCCCAGTGTGATAGACCGTAACCACCTTATGAACAGAGTAATAAAAACAACTCAGAGAGCAGCAGGGCCTTGAGGACCACCCACAGGGCTTTGCCACTGAGCGAGGGAAGGGGCAAAGGGCTTTGCTTTCAACAGTCAGGTGTTTTCACAGACCTTTCCCAAAACCATTTGCTGCATGCATTCCTTCCTGTACTTACTGTCAGGTGAGCAGGGCACACAGAAACCCTGCCGCATTCCAGATAATGTTTTCAGTGGACTGACTTCCACTGCACACAAATCTTCCAATAGCATAGTCAGGCTCATGACAGTGCCTGGCACAAGGAGACAGAGCTTCTCGTTGCCCTCACCGTCACACCACCTGACTCCCCGGTCTCCACAAAGCAGTTCTCTTGTGGAGTATCCACCACAGTATCCACCTGATCTCACATGTGTTAGCAAGCTGAGCATCCTGTGAGACAAACTCAAGCTGGTTTTGTTTAAATTCTGCAGTTCTTCACGGATGTGTTTCCTTTAGGTAGTGACAAAGCATTCATGCATTCACGAACATAGCCAAAACAAATCCAAGTCTTCTGAAGCTCTTTTCAGGTTAGCCATTCCAAAACCCGCCACCACTCTGCTGTTAGAACCTGCCCAACTGTAGACAGGAATACATGGCATTGCTGCTCTCCAAGAATAGGCACTGCTCCAAATCTTTCCAACTATGGTCAAAAGGCTCAAAAAATGCAAAATTAGTTTTCCAACTTTACTGTTATCAGCCAGACGTAAAATCCCTTTCTCAATTATTTGCCTATCAGCTGATAACTGTTAAATTTTATTTTATTTTTTTAAAAACGGTTGGAGTTTCTTTATAAAGTATATAAAATTTTCAAAAAAGGAATAATTTTGCTTTTAACTGTATTACTGAATACCTGAGGTAGTTGAGTAAAAATGCACGTCTAATACCCCGCCCACCCGCCCGCAGCGGTGGGCACTTCCCTTAAGTTACCCACGTTAGTGTTAGAGAAACAGGAAACAACAGCTCTACTCTAATGACTTAATGGCACGTTCCTGTGGAGATTCTACTTTGATCCAATTTCAACAATTGGACTTAAAAACGATCTATTTTTTTCTAATTTATTTGATGAATTTAGTGAATGTACCATTTATGCCGATTTCTGGCATTAAAGAGGATGTTAAAAACTAGCACATTGCTGTGCTTTGATATCACAAGGGAAGTGCGGAGCTCTTTCCCTACCCCCACTTTTTTCCTTTTTTTGTTTTAAAGCTGGGTGTCGTACATTTCAGAGAGCATAAAGTATACATTCTCACAGAGACAGGAGTTCAAGTCGCCTGGTCCTCAGAAACAACCGGCTAGGGAAATGCCCGTGCGTGTGATTCTGGATGGGTCAGCGCCCGTCTGTTGGTTAAGCAAATCTGTCTTTGGTTTGGCATCTGCCTCTGTGGTGGCTGTCTCCTGAGCCCTTACTTCCGCCTTGACTGAGGGGGTCCACTCTGCAGAGCCTTCTGCTGCTGGTGCTGCTTCACCTGAGACAGGATTTCCTGAATTTTCCTCTGGGCAACCTACAAAAGGACAGACTTTGTAGAATCCACATAGTCCAAAGTTACAAGTTACTCTCAAAGCATCAAGCTGAAACACTTAGTGTGCTGTCGGAAAGGAATACCAGATGCACCAAGCACAGCCAGGGACAGTGCCTGAGCACAGAAGCTCAGGTGCGGGGACCTCAAGCCTAGGAGTTGAGGGCCGCCTGGGTAACAGCAGAACAGCATACTCCAGCACCCCCACCCGACACTGAACCCTACGCACCCAAGAGGGTCACGTGTGTGCATGTGGAACGGGAGGCCTTCTGACAGCTTAGGAACCTGGCATTTTAGAAGCCACTTGCCTGGCAAGCATAGAAGTGACCAGTTATTTTGACAACAACTTGGTTATTCTCATCAGGTGTCTGGTCACGGGGAACAACAACTTCAGCACTTGATAAGTTCTGGAGTTCATTCACCTGAAATAGAGAAAATCATATTACTAAGCATTAAAAGCCTGTTTTCAAGCAATTATTATATGCCAGACACACAGCGTGTCATCTATTTATCTTCTGCTGAGCTACAGTTCCCATTTTAATATGACTAGAACCAAGGCCTGCCAAAGAAACCCAGTTCTGCTCAGGGCGTGTTCTATACTTCAAAGTTTTAAGTCTGGAAACGACTTAGTTGAGAAAGACTGCAAGCTACCTTTTGCAGTTTGATATTTGTAAAATTTTAGGGTTTTGTTTTGTTTTGGCTTTTGGTTTTACGGGACAGGGTTTCTCTATTGTTTTGGAGGCTGTCGGTCCAGCCCGGCCTCGAACTCACAGAGATCCGCCTGCCTCTGCCTCCCAAGTGCTGGGATTAAAGGCATGTGCCACCATCGCCCAACAAAATTTTAGGGTTTATAGAATAAAAAGTTAAGGTTCTATGAGTCAGATAATGCTGGACACCCCTTGCAAGTCCCTGGTCTGAATATGCAGAAGTCTCACTAGCAGGTTAGAGTCACAAGGGGACCTCTCCAAACACTGGCAAGGTGGGCCCGCTTCTTATAAAGGAGCCAAAGCTCGGGGACGAGCAGTGTCCGTGCAGGGCCGCAGCGTGGCCGCCCCGGCTGGGGTACTTGCCGTTTTGCCTCCTTTCCCAATAACTCTGCCCGCAGCAAACGATGGCACTCTGATGTGAGCTTCAAGTTTCACCTCTTCTTTAGGACTAACGAAGTTTTCTTCTTTAATTTTTCCATAAATTCTTCCCTGAGCCTACAGATGACAACGCAGCATATCAGTGTCATTCATACTTGAAACAAAAGGTCGGTTAACTTTGAAGATGGCCTAAACCAGCCTGGAATATACATCCAGAGCAGTGGTACATCAACATCTGGAATGAAGCCTGACAGTTGCATAACATTAACAGCAGCTAGGAGCCCCAGAGAGGGTTGACAGCAATTGTTTCATAGACAAGAAATGTGAGTTACTGACAAAAGGAGGGTAAAGCAGGGGCAAAATCCAATGATGCATTTGTAATGATGTCATTGTGAGACCCAGTCTGTACACCAACTACAGAGAATAAGCCAGATTCCGCTGCAAATAAAAGCAATTAGTAGGACTAATTAAACATGACTTTATGGGAAAGGACCACTCTCCCTCTTAAAGCCTCTCCTCTGGCAATAAGAAACAGATTGCAGTTTTCTTGAGCAAAAGAAACTAGGAAAGAACTACAGTCAGGGACACCAGGTTCACAAGGGGCCAAAGCCCGTGTCTAAACGGAAGACACCAGCCAAAATGAACACTTTCTAGTTAAACCATTCTCTTACTCAGGAGACTTCGGCTTTACGGAGGTGAGGATGCTGGCACCATGTGTGGAGTCCCAGCACTTGGGAGGCTGAGGAGGAGCACTACTCCAAGTCTGAGGCTAGCCTGGGTCAGAGTGACATCCTGTCTCCCTCCTCCCTCTCCCTAAAAGGCTGCAGAAGTCAAGTTAGCGTACACTTCTGGTACTCCACTAGCATGCCTGTGTATTGTATGCTGTATGTAAGGAACTTCCTGTGCAACCGTTAATTTATTTTCATACACTTCAAGTCTAAGTTGGGAAGTTAGGCTAATCTGACAAGCTGCTAAGACAAACCATAAAAACCCAAATAGCCATATGTTCATGGGTGCAGAGATGCTAAGCTCATTTGAGGGAACTAGAGAAAAGACAAAAGTCACTTCTACTCTCCATTCCATTTTTTTTGTGGGGTGTGGGGGTGGGGAGATAGCAGTTAAGAGAACTGGGTATTCTTCCAAGGGACCCAGGTTTGACTACCAGCACCCACATGATAGCTAATAACCTCTGTAACTACAGTTCCAGGGATCTGATGCCTGGACCTGGTCTCTATGGGCATGTACCTGATAAAGCTTGGAGGTAAAACACCCATATACATAACAATAAGATCTATAAATTCTCTTTAAAGAATTTATCTTTATGTGTCCCGAGTGGTTTGCACGTATGTCTGTACCATATGTGCACACCTGTGTGGTGGGTATCAAGCCTGTGGTTCCTCACATGCAAGAAAGTATCACACTCATAGCCTGGTTTTTAACATTTCCAATTTGGACTATGAGGCTGCTGGGAGGGGTAAACTTCACCTTGGTGCCTAGGCGGTGGCCATTCAACATATCAACGCATTTGTGTGGTCTATTCTCTCTGCAAATGGTGTGAAAGCAGCTTTAGATGTTCATTGACTTATTCCTTGATGGATGGCTTAAACAAAACAGCAGAGGTCAGGGCAGAGCACTTGCACAGCAAGGCTCCGTCAGTCCTTTCCTTCCCAACAGAGATGCTGAGCTGCAGGCAGTACAGCAGTGTGTGCACAGACAGCAGAGACTAAGGAAGGCTGACAGTGGACGCTGTTAGCGGACACCAGACCCAGACACAGGTGTGCAGCTGCTGAGCTGGCTCAGCAGGTAAAGTACTCGCCACTGAGCCCAACAACCTGAGTTCAATCCCCGGGACCCACCTGGTGGGAGAAGGCTGACTCACACAAGTTGTTGTCTGACCTCTACATGCGTGTCATGAGGCATGGATGTGCTTCTTCCATACATAAATACACGTAACTTAAAAAGAAATTGTAGGTGTTGGATTCATGAATTCAGCAGTTGCCTATGCCCAGATGTCCCACACTGGAATGAAGGCGCGTGAGACTGGCTTCACTGGCTGGCTCAGTGGGGTCAGCGCGTGAGGTTGTGCTATTGTTTCCGGCACTAGTCTAAGCATTGTACGTGTTGCTTATACCTTAGCTAGGATGGCGGTGCTTCTGGGCATTCTATAGAAGAGGAACTGGGGAGAATGACAACTTGTCTAAGGTCATACAAATGGTAAATGGCCATACTAGGATTTGAAATGAGGGTCTAGTTGTCTCCATAACCTCAGAACACATGGAGATTTTCCAGCTCCAAAGGACCCCAGATACCAATAAATGTACAGTAGTTCAGGCCAGACCACATGCTGTAATAACTCCAGTCTTCCTAACTGAAATCCTACGACACTGTTGGTGAAGGCTAAGAGAAAAGGGGCCACTGTAAAGGCTAGAGCATCTCTAAGACAGAAGGGATGCTGCAGACAGGTGGGTTTCCAAGGCTCACCAGCAGGCAGCTGTGGATGTGAGCGTTAAGGTCCCACCATCTCAATGGTGACAGTAAACCAATGCCATACATGGCTCCACTCTGATCTTTAGAAGCTCCACTGATGCAGGAGAAGGCAGCAGCATTTTGCTCCCTCTGGTTACCTGTGCCCTCCACAGCACATACCTTGAACTGAGCTTCTGGCGGTCCAGTGATAATCACCATCCTCACTTTAGCATCTGGTGCTTCGGCTGGAGCGATCTGTAACAGACCCAACAGCAGCCAGTTAGGATACTTTCTGGTGTCATTGCCAAACCTTAGGCCAACCAGCTTGACACCTGCACATGACTGACTGAGCTGGGGGATTAAATGCCTTCTGGAAAGGAATTATGGAGAGGCTGTGATTAATATGGGCCACCCAGACATAGCACACTACTGAGTATTTCAATGGCACCTGACTCTAATGTAAAACTTCATGTACCATCATTGAGCTAACCCATACCAACATCCAGCTAAAGAATGATCAATGGGAGCACTGAGGGCTGAGGGCATTAAGGGGCCTGACCCATAAGTTTATAGACTTGAAAGAGCTTGGTGTGCCCACTACCTGGCTCCCGGTAGCAACTCCACTGGTACATGAAGCGTGGTATCAAGGCAAGAGCTCTGGACTCCTAAGTTGTGAGGTCACTACACCCATGGCATCCCATTAGCTTCCAGAGGAAAGAGCAATCTGCGCTTCTCATACTTAAATGGGGGCGGGAGGTGGAGGGGGGGCTGGATTGTTTAAACTTTTTATACTCTTTTGTTGCTGAGACTATTAATAAATTGCTCCCAAGCCTACTTACTGGAAGAACACAGGAAGTTTACTAATGTTAACTGAGCAGGACACAGGTAAACTCAGACTTCAGTTTTCATGGAGTGTATGAAATCACAAAAGCTCAGGCTGGGGAAACAGTGAAAACTGTGTAGGAAGAGAAGCCAGCATGCCCAGAGCCACAAGGAAGGATTTTGTGACCCTGCTGGGGAGTCATTTTAATGAAATTTGGGCTGAAGCCATGGCTCATGGCTGTGCGGATGTAAGGACGGGGGTGTGGATTCCCACCTGTAATTCCAGCTCTGAGAGTCAAAGATGGGCTCCCCAGATCAAACTAGGTAGCCATACAGCTTGATCGATAAACTCTGGCTTGACTGAGAGACCCTGACAGTTGCTACTCATTTGCTGTGCAAATAAAACTTAGTTGTTACATTGTAAAATTGTGTAAGAACGGCAGTAAAAAATACAAGCAAGCCCAATTCTACAGCTGAAGACCATCACTGCCAATTACTTGATGTAGTCTTCTAGAAAGACTTTAGTAATTCAAGTCTTGCTGTCCGCTCCCTTCAAAAATTAAGCTAGCATTTCTGTCACCTAAAATCAAACTGATGCCTAGACATACTTTATGCTGAGAACTGACTTGTTTTGCATTTGAAAAACAAGCAAATAGTTCCTTGCATTTAGCCCAAGCTAGGGATTGTCCACAGGAAATACTGTAAAGGCATCATTCTTTAGCATTCCAGTTGGTTTGTTGTTGTTTTAAATACACTCAATGAACTGGGTGAAGGCTAGGAGCACTCATGTTGACTATATATATATATATATATTTTTCCCCCAAGACACTGGAGTTTGAATCCCTAGCACCCACATAAAAAGCCAGGTACAACTGCATGTGCCTATAACCCCACATTAGAGAATACAGACAGGTGGATTACCAGACATACTGGCTGGCCAGCTATTCCAAAACAGCAAGCTTTCAGTTCAGCGAGAGACCCTGTCCCAAGGCAATAAATAAGGCAGAGAGCAATGGCGGAGGATAGCAGAGTGTCGTGAGATATCCTCCCTGCCTGCACCTGTAGCGCTGACCACGCCCCTTTGGGCATGGTCACAGGTGAGGACGTGACTGGGAGTGAGTTTAGGTTTGGGGTCTGGGAGGTGGCTCTCTTGCATCTGGTCGGGTCACAGGGAGCAGTCTGTGCGGATCCTTAGAGCAGGAACCTGCAGCGGCCATCTGCTTCTTCTGTAAGTGACTTCTCCCCGAAATAAATTATATTTAACCTATATCTGAGTCCGTTCCCATAAATCATTATCTGTGCCTCCGCAGCTGAGGTCCTGCACACGTGCACACATACGCCAAACCAGCCAACCCAGTATCAGTGTAATGACATTCACATGGAGGGAAAGGTAACCATATCTAACCCTGTGCCACATAGTGAAAGAGGACGCCAATCTTGCAGATTATGTGTTTCAGACTTTCTGGAAACACAGTTTTCCAGCCCCATTAGAAGACCTCATGAAGGCAGGAAGGAGTGAGTGTGGGTACTTTATACTTGGTCATGAAATTGTCAATGCAGACTTCCCACAGTCTAAGTTCTCTCTCTCTCTCTCTCTGAGCATATGTCAGATTGGCATTTTCAAAGATGAGTGTATGTAAGTGTGTTGGGGGATGGGGCGTACCTCAGTACAGGTGCCCACAGAGGCCAGAAGAGGGTGTCAGATCCTGAAGCTTAAGTCAAGGGCCAATGTGGGTGCTGGACACTGAACTGAGGTCCTCGGCAACGGCAGTATGTGCTCCTAACTGCTGAGTCATCTCTCAGCCTGTCAAATACTGATCTACAAAAGCTCTAGAACTAGCAAGCCACACTTCATTGTTCCCACGCCTGTCCCTATACCACTTACTGATTTTAGTTAGATTTGCTTTCCTGGATTTTGCTGTCTGTTCTGTGTGTAAGGGCTGTTTCTGTGTTTTGCATTTTAATTTAATTTACACACAGCTGAATTTATCTTCTGTTATCCAGTTTGATGGGTTGACAAACACATACCCAGGTTATGTTACCACAGAGCAGTCATCACTCTCCCCGAGTCACCTCAAGCAGCTCTGCTGCACACCCCCAGGTCCCTGTAGCTCTGCCTTTTCCAGAACCATCCTGTACATGGACACACACAGCATGTGAACTTCCGTTCTGACGCTAGTCAGTGGTTTCTAGTATGCAGACTCACTGCTCAGAGGATCACATTTTATCTTCACGAAGGGCATTTGGGGTTGGTACCAATAAAAATGTCATTAATAGCTAGTTTTCGGGAGGCAGAGGCAGGCGGATCTCTGTGAGTTCGAGGCCAGGCTGGACCGACAGCCTCCAAAACAGAGAAACCCTGTCTCGTAAAACCAAAAAAAAAAAAAAAAAAAAAAGCTAGTTTTCTTTGGGGGAGGGTATGCTGTTTCATTTCTCATGGACAGATACCCAGAAGTGGGATCTATATGTTATATGATCAAGCCTTTGTTTTGTTTTAAGCAGCTTTTGAAAACATAAAAACAAAGGCTCTCACAGACTGTTTCCTGGAGAAAGCTGTGAACGTACAAGCCTGGTAACCTTTGTTTTAAAGCAACAACCCAAGGTTGGGCACATGGCTCAGTTGATAGGATGTTTGGATTCCCAGCACCCACAAACAGCCCCGAGCTGGGAAAAGCAGAGACAGGAGGATTCCTGAAACTCAAGGCCAAGCAGCCCATGGAGTCAGTAAGCTGGTCAATGTCACCTACTCAGAGAATAAAATAGGCGTGACTGAGGAGACACACATTAACCTGTGGCCTCCACGGATGCTCACATGCACAAGTTCCCTTTGTCTAATACTGAATTGCTTCAGCACAACAGGCTGCAGAAGCTGCAGAGCACACAGCGATCTCTTATGACAGACACCATGGTCCACAGCTACATAATAAATGCTTAGTGGACAACACAAAAACTCCATTTCCCTGCTGCCCCTTCAGCTTTGTCTGGCCAAGTTCTAAGAATGTAATATAGGCAGAAGACTATCCCATAGCAACCAATAGGCAACTCCCTTAGAGAATCTACTACATCCCCCTGTCCTCAAAGGCCAGGTGACAGACGTGGCTTTTAAGAGCACCAAACGTGGAGATGAGCCAGAGGAAGTGGCAGGTCGACATCTCAGAAACGCGGAGACGTTGTGCAGCCTTGCATCTCCACAGACTGAGATAACGGAGAGAGGTTATCTAGCCACATTTAAACCACTGTGGTAGGTTCCTGTCATATTGTTATTTAACCTGAAATCAGCCTGCCACTTTCACTTTCTTGTGCAATCAGGAGAGCCACAGTGTGCAGAACAGTACCTTAATTGAAGCTCCTGCAAAGCGAGAAAGCTGTTTGATGTGCTGGCCCTGCTTGCCGATGATGGCGCCAACCGACAGGGCGGGAATAAACAGGTGCACGGTCTCCGTTTCCGACTGCTGTAAGAGAAGAAAACCAGGGTGTGAATGAATGCTCATTGGCTACCAAAGGAATCATTGACACCCTCACCTTTGGGATGTGCACACTCTCAACCCAGCAGGAGCACTAGGAAGGTTGCAGGGAAACTGAAATCAATCAACCACCATTAAACATCTTCCTGAATTACGGGTGCTTTGCCTCTTTTTATTATATATTTAAACCATATGGCCTATATCCAAGGTGGCTTTCAGACTACACACCACAAACACTAGACTTTAGGTAGGCCAGCCCGCCTGCCCGCCCGCTTGCCCGCCTTCCTTTCCAGAACCAAGGACAAAACCTAGGGCTTGTGCTTACTGGGCATGTACTCTCCCACTGAGACAGGGTTTCTCTATACATCAGTCCTGGCTGTCCTGGAACTCGCTCTGTAGACCAGGCTGTCCTGGAACTCACAGAGATCCACCTGCCTCTGCCTCCCAAGTGCTGGGGTTAAGGGCGTGCGCCACCCCTTAAACAGAGAGCAAACAACTATAAGGGAAATACTCCTACATATGCACAAAATACCATTATCACCCCACACCTCTCACACATAGCAGAGAACTAAGAGGGAACCCATTTAAAGTAAAAATTTGAAGTACAAACAACCACTGTAAGCAGGACACTTCCTCCCATGCATTTCTGCACCCCCCTTGGCTTCCTCGGTACAATCAGGAACCGTCCTGAAAGCTAAGCTCTGAGAGGCTGTGTGCAGATGGACTTATCTGCGCACTCATTCTTCCGGCCACCTCACCGGTCACACGTGCCCTCTCCTGGCTCTTTCCGCAATCACTGCAGCAGGGCTGGAGGACACGGTCGCTCAGTGACTGCATTCCTCACAAGGCCACTGCAGGAATGAGTCTAATGAAGCAGTACCCGCTCATACCTTATTCTCTGTTTACCTTTTAGCAACAGGAAGTGCGTTCTGCGAAGGTTTGAACGTTAGCCATTGTAGTGGTCTGAATGAAAGGCTAAAAAGGCTCACAGGGCGTGGCGCTATGAGAAGGGGCGTGGCCTTGCTGGGGAAGTGAGTCAGTGTGGTAGGTTCTGAGGGGTCAGAAGCCCAACCCAGGCCGGTGGCACTTTCTCTTCCTGCTGCCCGCCAATAGGAATGTAGAACTCTCAGGTCCCTCTCCAGCACCGGCACACCACCATGCTTCCCACTGTGACCGATAACGGACTAGACCTGGAACCTGTAAAGTAGTCCCCACTAAATGCTTTCTTCTGTAAGAGTTGCCGTGGTCATGGTGTCTCTTTTTTTTTTTTTTTGGTTTTTCGAGACAGGGTTTCTCTGTGGCTTTGGAGGCTGTCCTGGAACTCGCTTGGTAGTCCAGGCTGGTCTCGAACTCACAGAGATTCGCCTGCCTCTGCCTCCCGAGTGCTGGGATTAAAGGCGTGCGCCACCAACGCCCGGCTCATGGTGTCTCTTCATAGCAACAGAACCCTAACTAGGAGAGCCACCAAAACCGTCTTGGGGAAGGGGCCACAGGTACCATGTTGGGCCATGAAGATGTCAGAGGAGTCCAAGAAATCGGAATGGAGGAGGAAGGCCAGGCTGCAGGAAGCTGCTGCTTGTGGCTGAGCTCACGTGACACGTTTCTATTCCTATTTAAACATCCCATTTCCCTGCCTAGCACCTTTGCCACCCACAGTTAGGATAAAATATTGTTTTGGAGCTTGTTGCACTTTTTTTTTTAAATAGATAATGGGGGCGAGAGCCATAGCTCAGCTGTTAAGAGCACTGGCTGCTCTTCCAGAGGACCCAGGTTCAGTTCCCAGCACCACATGGCTAACAGCCATCTGTAACTTCGTCTGGCCTCTGCGAGCACTGTGCTCATGCGACACACAGGCACATGCAAGCAAAACACCCATACCCACGAAACAACGAACTCTGAAGGGACAATGCAGTGTGGGAGAAAAGTCACCTCCCAAAGCAGAGTATGCACTGAGTTCTCGAGAAAATGTTCATAGAATCACATCTCTAGAGGAAGAAGACACTATCTGCAAAAAAGAAATTTAAACATAGATGACTTGGTAAGAAGACTTCTTAGAACTGTCTCCCCCCACCCCACACCTCAGTTTTGGAGAAGGAATTCTTAGCAGGAAGCGGCTAAAATGACTGTGGTACAATACAGTAGCAGCAAAGAGATACAAGCGGTCTATGCCGGTCTGAACGTCCTGTGATGTGGGGACAGCAGCAGCCTGGGGACCTGCCCAACAGAACAAGCCAAGCTTGAAGCAACTATGCTTCCCGTACAGGAGACGGCGCCCCAGACCAATGGACAGCACACACAACGTTAGCATCTTCAGTGACTCTCAGCACCCAGCTCTCCTGGCTCCATTCCATTCCCACCAGCCATCTTGCTGGCCACAAATTATTTCACAAGGGAATTCTCCTCTGAAGACGCGGGCAGCTCATGGAAATGTCTGTCCACTTGACTGTCTGGTACAGGGTGTTCTCATATGGAATTCAGCGTGAGAAGCCATGTTCGCAGGATCTGAACCAGATAAGCACAGGACTCCATTTCGGATAGCAGACCCACGCAGACAGGAAGGCAAAGGCTCTTCTACCTACAGATTTAGTTAGCCTGAGATTTAAAGCAGCCCACTCAGCATCACCCTGCCTCAAGCTCACGGTCTTGAGCACGTGGGAGACCCTTTCCTGGACCCTCTCTTGGAGGGCGCAGCCTAGTCATGGGACGCAAGCCTCTTCCCAGTGCCTGCTGGCAGATGCCTGTGGCAAAGCTTCCTTCGGACTCTTGGCAAGCGTACTGCCGTGTCTTGAAATAACGAGAACAAAGCTGTGAGGCCGAAAGCTTGTGTGACTGGCCAAGTCTGCCAGCGAATGCTTCCTAATCACCCGCTATCAAGAAGATACAAGCAACAGCAAACAGTGAGGTTAAGTGTATTTACTTTGCAGGGAACAAAATCTCAGGCATCACAAAGGCATGGAGACGTGCCTGGCAGCCAACGGATCAGCCTCCAGGAACCTGGCAAGATGCCAGTGTTTTCCTTTGGCGTGTAAGATAGGTACTTGGGGGAGGGAGGGGTTGTTTTTAAGTAGATTTGGGTCTGGAACTGAAACCAAGTTTACTCAACTCTATGACCTGAACAAAATACTGGGGCCTTTTTTTTTTTTTTTAAAGGAAGTAAACCAAGGCTTCATATGGTGCAGTGATTTGTTTTCTTAGAAATATTTACTGCACCCATGATGAAAATCTTAAGGGCTAAGAGACACTACCTAAGAACAGAACAGCAACCAGTCTGTTTCTTAGAGGTTCTGCCTCTGCTGACCTACAGAGATCTCGCTCATCTTTCTTCCCATCAAACCAGAAAGGTAGCCACTTCAAGGTCACACTGACATCTTTGAGCCCTCAGAGAAGAGTATAAAAAAGCTACCAGAAGTGTAAAGACAAGGGTTATTCCTGCCAACCCAACTGCAAGCAGCCAACGTGGCCAACTAAGTCCTTCGCCTGCTCCAGCCCTTGCCTGGTTCACTAGCTGCCAAGTCTTCCTTCCCCTGCTGTTTGGGCATTTCTGAAAGGAGCATTTCCTGTCACTTGTAAACCAGGGGCTTGCCAATTAAGTACTGAGGGAGCCAGCTGCCAGACAGGAACTAGAGACTTTCTGAAATCTGTTGGAAGATACAGTGCTTTGGCTGTTTGGAGAAATCAACTTCACAGGTTCTAGGAGAGAGAATACTTTGAAAGGGTGAGTGTGTGTGTGTGTGGGGGGGTGGGTTTGGGGATCAGTGAGGGGGAGTGGGGGGAGTGAGTGAGGGGGGTGAGTGAGGTGGTGAGTTAATGGGGGATAAGTGGACAGAATTCTGGAATGGAAAGAGGCAAGAAGTTTATCCACAGACAGCACACAGCATTCTGCTCTCATGTTACAAAGCAGAAATGAGTAAATCTGCATAAAGAAGACAATTCTAAAAGTCCATAAAAACTCTTGGTAGTGGTGGCAGCTGTGGCGGACAGTGGCATGCTTCCGGTACAGGTGAGCAGCACCAGATTCAGTGAAAGGAGAGATGGCTCTGTGGCTCAAAGTGCTAGCCATACAGCAAGATTATCTCTGAGGTAGGTAGCCGTCTCAGAAAAGATGGAGTCTAAGACTGACCCCCAGGTAACTTACACACTTGAGTCGTGGTACACGTACATGCTATGCACACGTGCACACCTGCTTGTGTAGATATGCACCATACAAAGAAACACAAGTGCGCGTGCACACACACACACACACACACACACACACACACACACAGAAAAGAAGGTAGAAAGCAATAGAGGGAGATGCTCAGTATCAGTGTTGTTCTCCACATGCGTACTGATGCATGTGCACCCCACAAACACACATGCATACCCACAGACATGTGTGTGCATGCATGTATGCACGAACACACAGACACGTTCAGACGCCTTGGTGAGCAATATGCATTTACAGTAAAGCACTGGTTTACGCTTTCCCCACAGGACATCAAAGGTTAAGACGATTTTAATAAGTAACTGGAATTCTCTGAGACAGCTGCTAATACCAAGATTTTTTTCTTTTGGGACTGGGCATCAAACCAGAGCTTTGTAGAGGAAAGAGCTCTACCACTGAGCTGCTCCCTAGCCAGGGACAGACAGCCTCTCATCACAAGTGTGGTCCCACAAACATGGCAGGATGCAGCCATTCCCAGAGCAACACCTGAGAACCCTGGGATCAACCTCAGATTTTAAAAATGGCACCACAGACCCACAATGGCACTTCTTCAACAAGGTAAACACAGAGGGGACAGACAGGAGGATGCTGAGGGTTGGCAGTGTAGTTCAGTGGGTAGAATGCACACTTAACATGAACACAGTCTTGGGTCCCATCCTCACACAACATAAAACTAAACATGGTACTGTACACCTGTGACCCCGGCACTGTAGAGGAAGAAGTTGGGAACCAGAAGTTCAGGGTCATCCCTGGAACAATGTGAGTTCAACCTTGTCTTGGGGGA